TTCCAATCCTAACTATTCTATGATTCTATAGTAACAGTATTATTATCCCACTTTGTCACAGAGAACTCACCTTCGGTAACATGTTCCTAGACTTTAGAACACATACTTGGTGCCAAGGTAAGCCTGCAAGCTTACTGTTCAGCCTTCAGATGACTCTTGCCAACCAAGTGGCATTTTATCAACAGCACCATAAAACACACAAGAGATGTGATGAAGTCAGGAGCAGCACAGGTCCAGAGGCAGCACTACCTGTAGACTACCTGAATCAGTACTATTAAGTTTAATGTTCAGTTACTACTGAAACTCTAGCAGGGGGCAAAGTTAAGGCAAGTGCCTCAAGCTCTGTCCTTCCTGTACTTTGGGTGATGAGGAAACTTCTGCACATACTTGTGTTTTAAGAGTTAAGTCCCAATTTCTGAGACTCTTGAGAAGTTGCAGCAATTTCCAAGTAAGTATACCATAGCATTTTAGTCGTATGCTTCTGCACCTCTAACCAGGGGTAACAGAAGGGCCTGGGATTGTGCCAATTACAGAAGCTAAGGTGGTAACAGCAGGAAGAGATGTCCCTTATATATCTGCCACCTCAAAGCCAAAAAAGTGAAGATAGTTGTTCCTGGATCCTGAAAAAGTAAGAAATATTAACAAAAAGAAAGCAAAACAACACAGATCTCACCATCTGCTTTCTCAACGTTTACTTAATTATGAGAAACCAGTTACACTGTAACTTTTATTACTCAATCAACTTTGAAAAATATTCATCAACATATTTCTAGAATTGAATTTTCGTCCCAAAGTTTACATTAAAACTCGAATCTTTAAGATGTTTGTCACCACAAAAAAAAAAACCACCAACAACAAAAAACCCCAAAACAAACAAAACAAACCCCCCAAAAAAACCAAAACCCAAAAAACCCTCAAGTTGTGAAATATGACATTTAAGAAGGTCTTCCAACCCACAAGGAAGTGTTTAAAATTTTTCTCCATAAATATCCTTCATATCACAGGAAATAAGAGGAAATAACATCACTGGAATGTTAACTGTGTTACAGTATTTCAAGTTGGTTACAGTTAGTTAAGGAAAAGAAACTAAAATTAACATGTAAAATACAATTAAAAAAAAAAAAAAATGACATCTAAACCAAAGCAGTTTAAGAAAATGCTTCTGGAAATCTCAGTAAGAACACCTGCTATGTCCTGATACCTTTTCCCTGCCTCTCTTAAAAAATGGCATTTAAAGTTACAGAGTAGATAACAGTTTAATCAGCCAGAAGGGAATACCACACCAACAGAGAAAAGGACTGAATCATATGGGTGCCTTATCTAGATTTTGTCAACTGATTTATACTCTCCAGAAAAATACAGCATTCTTCCCCTTGATTAAAAACAAAATGCAACTCTCTAAAGTGACAAAAATATCATAGTGTAAAAACAAATTAATTCAGATCAATGATTCCAGAACCAGAACAAATTTCACTGAAAGTACCAAAAGCTGTAACCACAAATTATTAAGGCAGATCTGACTTCAGTTACACTAATTTATAGCATTATATATATTCTTCACCCTGAACATTTCTTCTAGTGATTTTAAACAATCAACATCTATTGCACCAAAAGTTGAAATTAACAGATTCAATTTATAAAGTGCTGAAACCCTTCCAAATTTGTGCCATACTGCAGTTCTGTATTCATCGTAGTTCCCGTATCTTGAATACATTAAGAGTTCAGTGAGGCCACTTGATTGCAGGCTTTGAAGGAAAGGCTGTATGAGGTAGAATAAACTCCTTCAGGTTCTCTGCCACCTAGGGACCACAGAGCTGCACAAATGGCTCTGTGACAGGAAAGGGCTCCAAAGCTTTCTCCGAGTTCTTCCAGTTGTGAAAGTTTTCTTTGTACCATTCAACTAGTATGAAGAGAACGCTAATGAGTCAAGTTGAGCAGCAATAACAAGGAAATTCAAATATTCCACACATATCATAGGACTATCAACATTTTTGTAGTTCATTATGCAAAATTCTAACCTACAATATTTAAAGAAATCTAGTTTAGATTTTGTAAAGTCTTCATGCAAGACTTATTCTAGCATTAAAAAGTAATTAATTCTAGTAGCTCATGCTTCTTTATAGTGATTAACCTTTTTTTTTTTTTTAATCAGGTAATTCCCCTACATAAAGAACAGTCCATCTATGGAAAATTAAAATGCTAAATTCATTCCCTTTAGCTTCTCATTAACAAACCTATATGCCCATTTTCCACCCTTTCCCTCCTCCCATCACTTCTAAATCATTTAGTGTAAAAGCCATCAGTCCTACTTGTTTTCTGTATTCCTTCTTTCCAAGGCACTTTAGGTCTCCATCCCAAGTTGTGCATTTTTTCTGAATTCATGGGGTATCTCAGGTCATTGGTAGGTCTGATGAAGTATAAAATGCAGACGGAAAACATTTTGATTAGAGTACTTAATTGAGTAGAGATGCAGTACCTCACACTTGTCTTCAAACCAACATCACGTATGCTTCAATTCTGAAAGTTCCCATTAACATGAACAGATTATATTGCCTTCAAAAACTATGTGGCACTGAGCACAGCTTCAACTCCACAATTCAGTTTGTACAGTCAACTTCTTGGAACTGAGTAGCATAAATACGAATTATTATCGTGCTGGTACAAAAATGAATGCAAAACTCAGATCACTGCCAATGCAATTGTGCAAACCAGTGTATTTGAATGCTTTAGCCAGTCACTATGCAAGCCAGTGTTTTCTAGTATCTGCATTCACATTTTTCATCCTGAAAGCCCGTGATTTTTCACATACTTCAGATCTGAAATACATAGACTTCCAAAGCACTGTTATTAGAGTGCTTCAGTAGATACACAAAATCAGTAATACTCAATATGTAGAATCCCAGGCTGCAAGATTCAACACAGAAAAAGATTTCCTACATTTAAGCATGGCACAAATTTTCCCTTTCACAGTCTGGCAGTTAGACAGTCTCGTCTAGCATTCCTGGCACTAGCATACTGAATCTCCATGTGCAGAAAGAGACCAAGTACTTATTAAAACATGCTAATCTCAAACAGAAGCAGGACTAATTTTTCCATGGCAAGTAACCCCCATGACCCTTAAATTGCTCATTATAGAATTAAAGAACTGCTAGTTAGGTATCTTAAGAATCTTTTATAAGACCTCAACATTCCTTGACAGATGTATACCTTTAGGGTTAGTTTTCTCAATCCCATTTATATCTAAACATCAGCAGACAGGACCCAATACACATGAAGAAACATCTCAATCTGGATTATGCTGAGACCTACTGAACACTCTCATCATGTGAGCCAAATGCAATTTGTTCAAAGTCCTGCAATACACCCAGATAGGATTCTGAAGAACACTTCCTTTTAAAAACAAAAATTAGCTTATTTAAAGACACTTCAGTTGCCATGATAACAATCCAAAAGCGAACAGAAAGTGAGAATTCTGAAGGACATAATACTTAACTGCTATCAGCAGGTATGTCATTTCTAATCTCTAGTGAGCGTGCAGTATCTAAGGTAAGCAAAGACTCATTGCTGCTACAGAAAAGAAATGCAGATAAAAGAACAGAGCCAAACCAAACCTGAAATTAAGGATGGAAACACAAAGTAAAAGCGTATTTATAAAACCTATCCATTTTTGCCACCACCCTAACTTTGGCACCTCAGAATTTTACATCTACTTTTGAGACAGCAGTTTCAGCTTGAGATGGGAATCTAACTACACTCCGTAGGTGCGTATTTCTGCCTGTGAAGAGTAGGTCTTAGCTATAAAGCACATTTAAGTCTGAACTAGTCACATTATTGTCAAAATACTAGAGCCACATGAGAGATGATAGAATTCATCTCACTCAAGTGATGTTGAAGAGAAAGTACTGAATAAATTATCTAAGCTATTCTTAATAAAGTATTTAGCTACTGCATAAAACTAATCCTTCTCCCAAAGCACACTTCAGTAGTGAGAAGTCTGAATAAAGTTACGACAGACAGATGAACAATACACACTCCCCTATGTATGTCTCCGGATATCTACTCTGACCTAAAGATCCGAATTAGAAATGGAAATCCTGTTTTTCTATACAGTGTTCTGTAGAGATCATAGCTGTCAAATCCACTAAAAAGTAAAAATATAAATATAAATAAAAATAAAAATACAGCAAGGAAAAACAGCTCTCACTGCCTCTAAAGTTTTCCCACCTGCAGAGCAGAAACACTTCCACAAAACAACTATTTGGCAAGAATCTCAGAAGACTTCAGGATAAACCTATTCTGCATGTCCTTCACTATTTCCTTACCTGTCTTTGACATAATCCATCCAGTGCTCCATTTCAGATTCTGAACTGGTCTTCTTTATCTGTCAAGAAGAGAAACAAAAGTCACCCCCATACATTTTGCACTATCTTAACATAAATTTCAAAATAGATCCTTTAGCAAGATTTAAGTCTGTTAAAAAAGAATCCACAAATACAAAACAGAAATGGCCTTTGTCTAAACAGAGTTTTTAAATTACCGAAATTATTAAAACCATCCAGACCAATTTCAGTGCTGCCTCTTTATCTAAGCATTGCCCAACCATTGATCAAATTGTTAGATTTTAATAATGCCACATTCTCAGATCAAAACTGAAGCAGCCAGCATGAAAAACCTCTACCAATTGGTATTTAACCATTAATGTCTCTGAAATAACTGATGCAGCAGTGCAACACATAATAGCTTGTACTGAAAACTTACATAGTACAGCTGCCACAGAAAGGGTAGCACATTGTTCTGCTACAATTATCTTCTAAGACCCACCACAAGCCTAATTTCTCTCAGAGCTACAAAAGGTTTATAGTAGAATTGTTTGTATGTGCAGTGATTGGTAAAGGAAAGCATCATAACTGTTTACTCACTAAATGGATTAACTCCTTAGCAAGCTGGGCAATGGACATCTCAAAGTTCGTTCCTATGTTATAAATTTCACCTGGCTTCCCCTCCTTCAGGACAGTGAGGAATGCTTCTACCACATCAGCTGCATAAAGGAAATTCCTTCTTTGAAGTCCAGAACCATGAATACAGCTTAAAACCAGGAAGAGACAAGAAATTTTTGTTAATCCTTAGACAGAAGTATTGAATTTATTAGTTTGCATTTTAAGCAGTTTTGCTTTTAGCTGTTACCTGAAGGTACCTTAAGTAGCTGACATGCAAGCAATCCTTTAGTTTAAGGAAACAGCATTATCAAAATAAGCTATTCATAACTCAATTATGAAACATAAGTATGCGGTACAGTTTGTAAAATAACTGTAATTATAGTTTTAAAGGACAAATGCCACAAAAAAAAGCAAATTACATACCATTTTCTGTTCTGCTGCAACAAAGATATAAACTTTGGAATAACCTAAGGAATTGAACAGGAGAGGGGGGAAAGAAAAAAAATAAAATCACTATTTTAGAAGCTGTTATTCTACAAAGAACATTGTGCTTCACCAGTAAGTATCATGAAGTATCTTAATAAAACCCTTTAAATACTTCTAATGTTTTCTTAAGTCTAATCAAAAAAGTGCATCAAGCCTAGGAACTCCAAGGATTTTGTGGGATTTTTTTTTAACAGTATGTGCTTATATAGTGTAGTAAAGCTTATCTTTCTGGTCAACTGTTACAAATCAATAGCTACAAATGTAACATTTTTATGAAATAAAATGGTTCCATTACTTTTCACACACAGAACTGCACTAGAGCATCACTAGGGGTAACTTTTGGAAACTCTTAGAACATAATTTAAACATCCAGGAAATTGCAGTAAGTTTATAGTCAAAAGTTAGTCATTAAAATAGTTAAATTTGGAAGAGAACCTATAGAGAATTTCAAGATAAGTAAACAGATTAAGTGACAGCCGCTAGCCTGAGCATAAAGATTTACAGTTTTATGTTCAGCTACAAGTTTAGATCCATTCATAATGTCCCACAACAATTGGTCCCACTATTAAAAGTTTTTAAACTGAAGCCATTAGAAAGCTATTCCAATTATTTTGTTAACTTACCACTCTAAACATCGGAGCTGACATACTCAGTAAAACTAAAGATCCATCTAGCCTAGTATTGTATTCTCAGCAGTAACTAGAAGTGGAAGCAAGTCCAGAGGAGGTCCACGAGGATGATAAGAGGGCTGGAGCACCTCCCTTATGAAGACAGGCTGAGAAAGTTGGGGCTGTTCAGCCTGGAGAAGAGAAGACTGCGTGGAGACCTCATAGCAGCCTTCCAGTATCTGAAGGGGGCCTATAAGGATGCTGGGGAGGGACTCTTCATTAGGGACTGCAGTGGTAGGACAAGGGGTTATGGCTTCAAACTTAAACAGGGGAAGTTTAGATTAGATCTAAGGAAGAAGTTCTTCACAGTGAGGGTGGTGAGGCACTGGAATGGGTTGTCCAAGGAAGCTGTGAATGCTCCAACCCTGCCGGTGTTCAAGGTCAGGTTGGACAGAGCCTTGGGTGACATAGTTAAGTGTGTGGTGTCCCTGCTCATGGCAGCGGGGTTGGAACTAGATGACCTTAAGGTCCTTTCCAACCCTAACTATTCTATGATTCTAAGGAAAAAGTGATGCATCCCCTGAGTATACTTCCAACACCATGCAACCTGTAAACAGACATTGCCCAAGCCACACAACAGCAAAAAACATTCTTAAAACCATTGCTGACCCACCTGCAATAACATAGGGAAAAATAAATTTGCTAACAAAAAAAAAAAAAACCCACCAAAACCCTAGCAAAATGAAAAACAAACAAACAAACAAAAAACCACAAAACCAAAACACACCCAACCCAACACACAAAAACCATTTCAAATTTTAAAAAATACTTCACTAGAACTGCAAAATACAGCTACATTTCATACAAGCTCTAAAGAGTACACAGGATTATCATTCCGTCAGTGCATTTCCATTCACTAGCACAGCAGATCTTGGTATTGCCTACAAAAGCAACTCCCTCTCACCAATAACCATTTTAATTAGTTACACTGCAAGATACATGCAAAGAACAAGTCAGTTTGCAAAGCTGTTCATCTCATAGCTGATTGCCATAGCTTCATCTTACCAATTTTCTGTGCAGGCTGGAACATTGCTATGTCAGACATCCTGCTCTCAATTTACCTCAGTTGTTAAACATTCTTAGTTACAGCATGTGACATGTACGTTAATGCAATTTGTAGGGGAACCCTGCCAGACATACGGCAGTTAAGTATTCTTTGAAAAATAGCAAAGTTACAAAACAAAGTCATTGTAGTAAAATTCATAGAATCTCTGATGCTTTACTGACAACCAAGAAAATGTGTATTCATTGTGCTGATAGTAAGACACATCAGTGTGAGACCAAAATACATAATTACAGCTAAGTGTGGACATATATACTTTCAAAACAGTGCTTTTTTCAAAAATCAATCCATTTTTATGAGAAAAAGGTAGCAACACTGTAACCCTGAATTACAGTATACTGAAGCTCAGAGGAAACCATAGATTTAGCTTACTTTTTCTGGATACTGGTGCGGTCCATAAACATTACTGCTCCGTGTGATAACAACTGGGAACTGAAGAGCATGAAACATGCACGTGATTACATAAGAAAATATACACCAGTAAAAATCTCTATGCTTCTTGCTGATCAATAATACACTGACACACCCACAGTGCTTCTGCGCTGTTTTTTAAATTGCTAATGTTCTTGGTTGACCATTTTATCCAGAAACATTTTGAGTCATTAAGAGTTCAGATTCACAAAAAAATAAAAATATTTGACCTCTCCCCATTGTCTTGCAATGTATCTCCACCAGTAAGTGAAGGTCATCCTCTAACACATCCAAACAACAAGACCAGCACTCAGGAAAGAGGTGGCATTTTGTGGACTAGTACTGCTTTTTCTTTTATACTTCTACATACAAAATACAGCTAATTAAGGACAGGTTTCAAAGTTTTTGGAAGGTTGCATCAACTTACTTGGTACCTTTCCCAGTACGACTGAACAAAACATTCTGCAGCTGCTTTAGAGGAGGCATAGGGATTTGTTGGACGTTTTGGGGAGGATTCATCAAATTCCTAAAATGAAAAGGAAAATTTGGATTACTTCATTTCTTTCACCCAGATAAGTCTTAAAGCTACAAAAGCTGCAGTTGCAATGGAAATAAAAATCCCTAAATAGCCAAGTACACCAATCTGAGAAAGTCACCCACTTTCAGCAGAAGACCAATACAAAAGATAGTCTATTTATCAAATACAGGAGGTGGCCAGAATACTAGCAGTAATGCTGTTATAGCAGAGTACCTCACAGTAGCAGGTCCTCCAGTCTTTATCTTGTAAAATAATCACTGTTGTCACAGGTAGATTGAATCTTTTTCAGGCTTGTATTGCTTCAGAGTGAAGTCGCACTAGCACTACCTAACTGACCTTTCAGTCCTAAATAAGAGGGGTCCATTCTCCCTTTTCTATAAACTTCATTTCTATAAGAAAAATAGAATCACAACACAAAGCCCTCCAAAGCAAGGCATTAACAATTCTGACCCATTCCACAACAGGTAGCTTCATGGCTGTCCTGCCACTTCCATCTACTTCTCATTCGCATAGGGTGTGTAAGGAAGGACAGGGACAAAGAAACGTACTAAACCCAGATACAATAATGAACCAAAGCAAGGATGGATTTTACACTGTCCAAAGTTCAATTCATAACAATTGCCCTAATGGGTGATTAAAATACTCATTTCAGAGGCAACGGTCAGACAAGAACAGTGAACTGACCCCGATTTATTTTTCGACCTTCCTCCCCCCATAAAAAACTCTTCAAGAACTTCTACTATGACTCATGACTCGCAAAGAGAACAAAAACCAGAATAAATGGAAGCATTCTTTTCAAGGCCCAGGGACAGAAAAGTTCACTTGAAGTTCTCAGCCAAACCAATGGTTTACATGCAGGAAAACAACAGCCATGGGTATCATAAGTGTGTATAGACTGAAGTTGTGTTGTAGGAATTGATAAAGGTATTTCAACAGTAAGGAAAGTGCAGAGAGCTTTTCTGAAATGCATTAATATTTTCACAGACTATAGCACAAGACTCCTTGGCTGTTACTTACGCCTTTAGAAAGACAAGTATGCATAATTGTCTTTATTGAGCTAAACTGTATTTCCTGAATTAAGGTCAGGCACAATTGTCAAGTACCAAAAAGATGTCCATAGAACAACAAGAAACATCTGCATATCTCTTCCAGTAATACAGGAACTGTTTCCTGTTCAAATTGTCAGTACCTACAGTTCCGTTAGTATTTTAGCTAGTGTATAAAATCATGCCTGTCAAGTTCACAGTCTAGGCAGAGCAGGAAAAAAATATTTAAAAGAAAAACCAAAACCAAAATATACTGTGCACGCTGCTTGAAGTCTCATGACTTCAAGACAAAATCTGCACAATACATTCCTTTGATAGTATCTCTGAGGAGTATTCACATGTCATTAATGACCCCAAACTCACTGCTTTAAGTCATACACATTCAATATAAAACACGCTACAAAAGAATTCAGCACAGTTTTGATACTTGGCTTTCTAGGAACAACCAATGCTTGTTTACAAGTTTCAGTGTTGCCAGAAATGGCTCAATAGTCATACACTGACAGAGGCCAAGGAAAGTTAAGACTACTTTGTCTTCGCTATTGAAAGCAAGTAAAGCTAGAAAAACCCTCATACACTTTCAAACTCACCTCATCAGTGCTACCTCCATATACTTCATCTGTACTAACATAGACAAACTTCTCCACATTGGCTTCGTGTGCAGCAGCAACCAGCACATTAGTGCCATAAACATTCACATAGGTGAATTCCAAGGCATGCCAAAATGAAAGATCTACATTAAAAAAAAAAAATAAAAAAAAATTGGACAATTCTGATTAAATTTAGGCAAGATATGGCTTCCTACTGAACCATAATATTAGAGGTTGCAATGTAGACTGGGACTTTATCACTAGTGCTTTGATTGTCAGATAACAAGGTCATTATTAAATAAAGATACTCTCTACACTTAAAGACAGAATCCTTGCTCTCAACAGAAGGCTGGAATTGGGAGCAAAAGCTTGTTGACTGTGGACAGTTCCATTTGAAATAGCATTTAAGTGGCAAAATAACTACTTCCCCTCTCCACTTGGAAGAGCTGAGCTCAGTAAGAAAAGTATCATTCAAAGACATCAACAAGATGCAGTGATATATATATACCTATTACTGGTAATTAACTAACAGCTCTTTTAATTCTTAGAATTGTCCCACTGTCCCATATCAAAGTCATTGATATGACTTTGTGCATATCAATCTGACAATTTTCAGAAGCATTTTTCTGGAGAATTTTTCAAGGATTTCGGCTCATGGTGAAGGGCACTTTTAAGTGTAATTCATGGTCTCTTTTTAGAATCCAGGAAGGACTCTGAAGGGAGCAATGCCTAATCCTTCATCTTCCACATTGTTTCTCTTGCAAGGTTGGAGCCTATCAAGTAAAATCTCAAGACTACATACAAACTCTTTTCGCATTGTCTTTTTGACTACACTATCAGCTACTTGTGTGCTTAGACAAAATTTAAGATGTAATGCAAAAAAAGGGTACTACCATTTACGCACAATGAAATTAGACAATAGTGAGATGAAGAGTTTTTAAATCAAGGCTGTGAACCCCTTGAAGTTAAAAAGGCCACGAGACATTGAATCATGTAGTTTGTCTCTACGAACTGTATCGTTGTTTTACTTGAAGGGAAAGGAAAAGATATCAGCATGCATTTCAAACAAACATACTTATGGAAAAGAATACCAAAACATGCAACAATGCTCACCTACATGTGTTTGGGCTGCAAAATGAAGGACTATATCTATTTTCTCAGTTTTGAAGAGCTGTTTTATAAAGTCAGGTTCACAAATGTCTCCCTGAACAGGAAAAAAAAAACCAAAACAAAACAAATTACTTTTGATAGAAAATAGTATGCCCTCGTTTGTATCAAGCACTAGATAACAAACCATTACAAAGGAAGCACGGGTTACCACCAACTGAGTTTTGAACAATTTATCTCACGTCTTGGATAAATTTCACACATTTTGAACAACAGCCTCAATTTCAGGATTTTTATTACTATTAAACGTTAGAAACAGCATCACGTCCAAAACATACACAACGTAAGTATAGTGTGTGGCTTGAATGCTGAGGTTGAAATTACTAGTTCCCTCAGCAAGGAAAAGTCTGGCTAGCGGACAGTGACACCTAGTGGCATTATAAAAGGTGAACTGGATTTCCACTTTAATCAGAATAGATGGTTGGATGTCTTGCAAGGATTTTGCATTTTGTTTTTTGTTCTGGTAATTTATTTTTTTTTTAAATATACATAGTTAGAAAAAAGTCAAGTATCAACACACAAACCATTCTTTAGTTTGACACAGAAGGAAAAGCAGCTCTTAAAGGTAAATGCAAGCTAGGAAAAAGTTTTTTGTATTTATCCATTGACTCAACTTAAACAAGAGAGTACCTAAGAGCAGATGTGGGAAGGAAGACTTTCGTATTGTCAATAACAAGGCAATTAACAGTTCAAATGCACATGTTTTAAGAAGTTCTCAAGCAACAATTCTGAACAGCAGCCTCAGATGTCAGACACGGGAGGAAGACGAACTGATTTTCCTATATCTCACCCCTGAACAGATCTGAAACACTCTAGTAAATACATTTCAGGCTCATACATTATTTTGACTTTTTCTTTTTTAAATGAAATTCAAACTCTATACACCTGCGCTGAGCAACCACAGAAACTGTGATAAAACTGAGTCTTTCATACAGTCCCTTAAGCAAGTTTTCTAAGCTTTTACTTCTCTATCTTCCAAAACAGGCCTCTTTGCTACAGCACCACTACAGTATTTATCCTTCCTGCTCTCTCCCAAAGCCAGTAATAGCGTTACAGTTTTAACTGTAGGGCTTGCCCACCAGAGATTATTTTTCCAGTCCATTTTTTCCTATCAGTGTAAACTGTTTGGCTGCGTGGCTGCATAACAGCAGCATACTAAGCTCTGACCAACCTTTGTTAAAAAAGGAAACAGTTTAAATTATATTATTATAATTATACTGATGTAACTTCTGTGAGAACACATTCCTATCCTAGTTCAGAAGCAGCACAGCTACTTCATTCCTTGCTGCTATTCCCCACTTCACACAGGGATCTATTTATAGGGTGCCTTCTAGAAGTCCATGCTATCTCCAGCAATTAAATATTAATATATATCCAGGTAACAAGGCTTTTCTAAAGCATTCATACATTTGATATCACATACTGGAAATCATCAAAAACATTAGGAAAAATAATGCGAAAGCCAGTCTGAGCATGCTGAAACTACATTTGCTTAGCAGACATCACCTTTCTTCTCATGAAACTTTTATCTCAACAGCTTAGAAATAAAGAAAGAAGTGCTTCACAAAAATGGAAACAGCCACAGGAATCACCAAACAGGTGAGGACAAGTTCAGCTCCCTACCCTGCCTGAATCTAAGAGATAAGTTTAACTTACATTTACTAGCTCCAACAGAGTTGCCACGAAGTTGCTATTTCAGAAAATTAAATTATATATACATTTTTCCCATGTCCTGCAACCTCAGGCAGCCCAGCTAGACAGAGAGACCAGCATCAGTACTGACCTTCTTAGAGGCGAAGAACCTCAACATACAAACCCAGCTGTCAGAACACTTATGCGAACAGTAAATCAAAATCTATCCCAGGTCTGAAGATAAAACTGTGCAAACTATAAACTAATTTAATTGGAAAAATTTTTAAAAGAGACATCATACCCTGAATGGTCCCATGAGACCCTGTTCCAAAACAATTATGAACTACACAGCATCTACAGCAAAGGAAGTATGTAGCCTAATGTCTGATGTT